TGTAGCCTGGCAACTTAGACAACTCGGCACTGCACAGGCAGCTCGCCACAGACAGCTCACCATCATGTAGCCTGGCAACTTAGACAACTCGGCACTGCATAGGCAGCTCGCCACTAGGCAGCTTGCCACTAGGTAGCTCGCCACCAGGCAGCTTGCCACTAGGTAGCTCGCCACCAGGCAGCTCGCCACTTATGGGTAGCTCGCCTCCTAGTCAGACCGACCACCGCATGACAACCCCGAGGAGCTCACCACCGTACCCCGCGTTTTACGGGATTGTGACTTGTAACGGCTGTATTAGCTCACCCACTCCTCGATTTAGGCGGAAATGGGCAACCTTACCAGTTGGTGGCTTTATGCCCACCTAACACGAAAGCAGGTCCCATCACAGCGGGAATCCAGGAATTGCTCCACCAAACCCACAAGGACTCCGGTATATAAGGACCTCGCCCCCCAGGGGCGAAGGGAGGATGATGCGAGAGAAGGTATGATGAGGAGGAGGGAAATGAGGAGTTCTTGTAGGTTCCTCAGTTCCCGCCGTCTACAAAGATGAGTAGGTCATCTCCTGCAGGGAGCAGGCGGGTTGCGCTACGCTAGGGAGCTCCACTTCAGCCTTTGAGTCATCGGCCACTTGGGAGCTGACGAGGTGACGAGGTACTTAGCCAAAAAAAAATATATATACGTGACCAGAAAACGTTACATCACAAACAAAGCAGGAAGATGAAATAAACACAATCATGTGATGTGGCAAAACCAACTCCTGCATTTTAGATTAACGGAGCATCCAAATCACAACATTAAGTAAATACTATCAGGTATCGGGAGCATATTCTCTAAAACAATTACCACACACACATCAGTACCTTACTCATATATATCTTATGAAGCGAAAAGAATCAGAAAATATCAAAATAGTGATAATTGATATGTTTCCCCTATTAATTGATAAAGCAAAGCTACAACCAGCACTTGAACTCCAATCATCGTTTCAATTCATCTATCATGCAGAAAGCTAAAAGAAAATCCAATTGTATAGAATCATCGATTACCCAAAGGCCAAACATTCCAGTCAATCTGATTTCAACAAGCAAATAAACGACGAATTGAACTAACATAATCGGAAAGTTAAATTCTGCAACAGTAGTGACAAATTAAGCTGCCGAACAGGAGGGAGACAAAGGAAATCGAGCAGAAACCGAAAGGAGAATACCCTAAAGTAAACTCCTCGGCGTCGAAAACGAAAAAAATGGGGGAAAGCGTGGTTAAAAAGTCAGTGAATTCAAAATTTGTTCAGCGATCAAACACGTCAACCCTAAATTGATTACGAATTCAACAGGCAAGAAAGAGAAAACTAAAGAGAAGAAGAAGATGATGATAGGAATACCAAAAGGATTTGGACATCGCTCCTCCAATTGTCAAACAAGAAGAATCCTGATTCTCGACAAGAGAAACAGAGGATAATCGAGAGAGAGAGAGAGAGAGAGAATATGGTTAGTCAGTAGAGTGGCGAGAAACTACAAGGTGTCTTCCACACGTCAGCATGGAGCTTTCCTAGTTTTTCCTTTAGTCTGCATGGTGGAAGGCTTGTTTGGCTTTTTAGATGGACAAAGAAGACTTGGAGGAGTGTCCAACTGTCCATGACTCATTCATAGGCGAAGACCGGATCAGACCGGATGAAACAGGAGCTTGCCGTATTATAACCCAAACCTAGTAGTTCCAACCGGTCCGGGCCGGTCTATAGACCAATTTGCTGTGTGATTCGGAAGACGGCTCCATCCTCATCCACAGACCATAGACCACAGCATTTGGCAAGCTTCACTATTGAAGTCAATGGCTTAGCCGCTTAGGTGGATTGACGAAGACCAAAGATGAAGAGTGTACATGACTTTTCTCTCAATCATTGTATTTCTCGGTTATTTATTTTCCTGGAATAATTATGTATACCGTGACTTACTTCTCAAAAGTTTTGAGAAGTAAATGGGGAGAGATCAATTTTGATTAATTTTTACAATCTAGACAATGGAAAATTTTCTAGGAATTTTTATAAGGGTAAAACAGAACAAATAAAGGGTTTTTTGTTTGCAGTGGTGGAGAAGAGAGCAAGAGAGAAAGAAAAAGAAGAAGAATATGGAATGACCAGGACTAGGCCTAAAGGCTCCGACATTGCACTATTAAAATAATGAATGCTTCAGTGTTTTGAAAACGAAACTAGACCAGAACTAGATACACTTTGGGTCATTAAAAACCAGAAAAGGAACTATTGGTCAAAGATGCTACACATCAAAATAGGGGTGTAACTTGGGAGGGCCCAAGACCCATAATTTTATATGGACTGGGTTTGGATTTTTTTGTCATCCTTTTGGGCTTGGGTCAAAAAGTTTGGATTTTTTGTTATCTTTTTTGGGCCCGGGGCTAGCCTAACCATTAGGTAGCCCAAGCCCAGCCTGAGTCTAGTCCAACCTTATTCCAACTTGAACTCAGTCCAATTATGTACATACATAGATGCATTTATAGACATATCTTTTTTTTTTTTTTTGTAAGAATATATAGACATATCTGCATGCATACATGCACATGCATTCTTTTTTTTTTTTTTTGGGTATAATGTGGGGTGATTGACCAACCCAAGCCAGGCCTGAACCAAACTCAAATACATCAAATTCTAGTGTGGGCTGGGGCCTGATTTGACAGATTGGGCTTGACCTTGAACCAAGTCCAAACTTAGGCCTTAGGCCCAATTCTTAGGTTTGGGCCTGAGTTGAAATTAAACCTGGCCCAACCCACCCAACTTGCACCCCTACATGGCTACACCAAAAGCGAATGAAATGGAGAAATATTTGGAATCATTTTAGGCTCAACTGCAAAAAGCTTGGGCTTAAATTAAGGTTATTTGTCGCCATGCCTTTGATTCTAAATCTGTTACTCTTCTTCCATTTGGACTCATGCGCCAATAATAGACAGATAGGTTCTAATAGATCACCGACACACGCAAATACATAGACAAAAAGGAAGTATCTATCAAAGAGTGATGACTTGGATGATTGAAACATCTGACCAACCTCCAATTATCATATTTATTCATGTGGATTGTGGATGAGATACCATTGACTATTCATTCAGTCCTTTGAATTACAAAGAAGATTCACAAAAAACAATGAAAATTAAGAAGAGAATGCAAGAAAAAAATGGAGTAACATTTATTCAGTTGGTATCAGAACTGTGATTTCTTCAGTCTGGGGCCATTATAGTTGCTGTTGTTTGAGTGTTAGACTCCATTTCTTCTGGTAGTATTACTTATTTAATTTATCTCCTTTTTCTGGATTTCTGTTTCTAGTTCTAGGAAGAAATAACAATTGGAGAATGTGTAATGTCAGCTACCATCTTCAATGAAATGCAGGGCTGATCAACAGGTACCTGCACCCAGATGATCAGAACCATGAGATAAATACAATCATTTAATATCAGAAAGAATCACTAAGAGTCTGTTTGTTGTCCATTTAATGAGTCTGCACCCAGGATTAAAGAGCTTTCCTCATAAATGCTTGCCTTCCACAGTATCTATCCGGCTATCGCCCACATTCAGTGGCCAATTGATAATGGCTGAAGTGGATGAGCTGAATGACTCAATGCTTTCTGATTGATTTACAGAATAACAGCTCTTAGGCACCTAAGCCTGAACCCGACCTGAAAAGGTCGAGTTGAAGTTTGGGATAGGGTCAAAAAGTATAAACCAAATTTCAGTTTTCAGAAAAAAAAAGGGGGGGGGTAAAGAAAAGGATTAGGTTAGGGTTGATCCCTTGGCCGATCCGACTTATTTAGCTGCATATTTGTATGTATGAATATCATATAAGCATTTATTTATGCATCTAAACACTTACAAAATGACCCGCCCCGAGTATCCAATAGAAATGTAGATTCTTGTATGACTTGGTAAATCCTCTTGTAGTTTCATCCTCATGCCCACAGTAAAGTGGAGTCCTATCCATGCTCAAGAACCGTTTCAGTCCATCCCACCTGATTAACAAAACAGATATTAATGATATTGATAAAAAAACAGAGAGAGAGAGAGAGAGAGTTACTTGAGTTTCTTCACCCATGCTTCAGCTCCTTTGGTGGCACATATGACATCAAGCTACAATAACCCCACCAATCAAAGTAAACTTAGGGCTTCAAACCAGATATATTTTTGACACCCACAATCCTTCCAAAAAAAATTATCACTGGTTGTGATAGGATGGTGGTAAATTATCAACAAGTTCATCTATCTATCTATGAGAATCACCATATACCATTGATCATCTTAAGTCACATATTTGCAAACAATTTAACTACATTCTTTCCATTCCATTTTCCTCTTTTTGTTTTTTTTCCTTTCCAGAGAGAAGGAAAAGGTTTTAAGTGTCAATTGTCAGCACAAACTCAATAGTCTATAGCCTAGAAATACGTGTGGGTGGTCCAAAAGGGAAATCCAATGTCCTCTCCAAGACTTATCCAAGCGAAGAAAACTTGAATGGTGGTGAATCCTTGAAAAAAAGACTTCGAGAATGAATACCTGTCCGTTATATATTGTCACATTGACCCCTTCAGCTAAGAGATCATCAACCTATAATATAAAAAAAAAAATGTTAGACTATCTTTTGATGTAATGTCTAAATGAAAAACAAGTACTAGTACAGCTCTTATTCAATAAAACAATAAAAAAATAAGTAGACTCCAAACGAGAAATATTAGAAGCATGAAATTCAATTCAAAGCAATAATCATATTCAAAAAGAAAAAAAAAAGTTGTATATGATGCAAGTAGACCCACTTAGGTATTATGATCATCATAATTTGATCAGTTCATTCTATACTAGATTTCTTGAGTGCAGTGGGTTGAAACAGCTGGTGTATCTCTTATTGGTTTCTTTAAGTCTGGTATCTTATTTGTAGCAGAAGGGGAGTTGTGAAGATGATCAAAATGTGCTTGGAATTTACAGATACTCTTTTGCTTTTGCATTTATATGCTGGATCAGTACCTCATTTATTCTTGGTTTCATGAAATCACCTTCTAAAGCTGAGTAAACAGACATTGATAGCTCTCCCCATCTGCAACAAACACCATGAACAAGAAATCGGTAGAAAGAAAAGAAGTAAAAACATCCAATAACTGAATCAAATATCATGAGAAAAGAGGAATAGAGCAATAAATGTCTGAAGAAATAGAAGGAAGATAAATTTTTGGGAATAACGGTACTATAATTTGCTTTTGTGTAAGCAAAGTAGAAGACTTACACTACACCTCTGGGGATAATTTTAAGCTTCTCTCTTATGACTACATTCATCAGTGTATTAATGTCATCACTTCCACCTGCCAGTAAGCTCTTGGAATTGAGATATCTTGAGTACATCTTCATTCTTTCTCCCTTCGACAATGCCATAGCCATTGCAGAAATTGAGTCTCTTCCTGAATCTAGCATAAAATTGTAGAAATCCTGCCACCCAAATGAATTTCTTCCCAACTCTAAGAGCTTGCTTGGAAATCAACTGATCAATTAAAGTATCGGAAGTGAAGAGACAAAACTGAGACAGAGGGTACCACAAAGTTACTGGCCATGCTAATAATGCCATCGAGCTCTATCCATGAATATGTTGCATTTACATAGTGGCCTGCTGCAAGTTGCCTCTTAATTTGTAGAGCAATACTATATTATGAAATAAGTTTGTCAGAGAACTCAAATATTCTATAGGAAACTTTATTTTTCACTTGTTTTTTTCTTTCAAGAAATCATAGAACTGGACCTGTTTGCCTTTTTGGCTCCACTGTCATCAAGCCTCGACACATCTTTGAGAAGGGGAGCCCATGAAAACTGCACTTTTAATATTAGAAGCCTTAAAATCTATAGATTTAAGAATTCATTCCTTCAAATTAAGAGCCAAGTATAAATGCACTCAACCTGATAAGTTAAGGGAAATTAATGATTTCAAATCCACCACTCACCACAAAGTCTTCAGGGGAGATCCAACTGTCTCCCAAAGCAACTCCTGAATCCAAAATGTAAATGAGATAAAGATAAATAACCAGAAAGTTTACAGTTACAGATTTGGTGTACTGTAAAATAATGAGTATGCTATCTAGTGAAGTATCAAAGTAAAACTTCTAATTGATATACCTCCAAGTTGAAGTTTCAATTTTCCAGCTTTAATGGCTTTTAGAGTTGATAGTGCAAGAGTAACAGCATATTTTCCTCCATAAGACTCTGCTACAATGTACAGAGGACATTTTTGGAGCCTAGCATTTCTATTGAAGAGCGCTTTCAGCAAGGTAGTTAAGTCAGTAGCTGCCTCTTCATCGTTTTTTACCAACTCCTTTTCATCCTCCACAAAACTGTATCCAGTTCCAACTGGGTTTTCCTACGATGTATCAGCAGAAACAATTCAAACTCAACTTCTTTCTTAACTGTATCTGAGGGAGACAAACAATGAGCGAGAATGCAAGCATGGCTCACCACAAATAAGAGATCAGCTACCCGCAACCAGGTGGAGTTCCGAGGCTTCAATTCGGTGTCCAAGGGTCCAATCTCTTGGAAGTTTCCAATCCCAACTCCTGAAGAACCCTGTTTTCCCAAAACAGAAGAAGCCAAGCTTCAATTGTGGGGATTGAATGAAATAAATACCTGTTTTCTTATATTTGTTTGTCAAATTTTGAGTAATAAATACTCACAGGTCCACCTTGCAACCACAGAATAATTGGCCAAGGTTTAGATGGATCTTCAACTCTATGTGGACTTCTATAAAGCCACCAAAACATGTGGGCTTCTGCAGTATATCATGAAGGAAGAAAAGCTTAATCAATACAATTACATTGAAAATCTGGCTCAGCACAGTTGAGCTAAGGTTCCACAGTATAGTAAAGCAAGATGCAAAGCATTAGGCTTACTGGGCCGCACTTGAATGTATCCCCATTGTTCAGATCCATCTTTGGTTCTAGCAGCACTAACAAACCCTCCATGAAACAGTGAAGAAAATGCCAGAATAGAAAGAATAAGCTGAATAAGAAAAGAGAATTTCTCCATAACCCACTTCACATATAGAACAAAACCTTCAGAAAGTAGTTATAAAGAAGGATCCATTCAGCTGGAGCCGCCCCGTTTCTATACAACTGAAAAGACAAAAATCAGAAACCAGAAAGAAGAGAACAAAAGCCCCAAGATATCTCTAAAATTCTAAATCAACAAAAATATAAGTAAAAAATGTCTTTGCTTGCTGCTGCTGTCACTTTTTAGGTGTATGGTGTCCCCTGTTTGATGGGTTCTAATTGACTGTTAATTTATTTTATGCATATTAAAGGGAATAATATAATAACCAACTAAATAAGTAAATGCAAACTATTCACTACACATCTGTCTGTATTTTTGGATCCAACCCCAATCAATCTACCTTTTTTGAGTTTCTGTTCATTGATGATCCCACAGAAAGGAGATATCTTCCATCATTCCAAGATAAAAATGGTAGAATGTAGGGGAGACAGAGGATTTTTTTTAATATCTTTTTCTCTACTTTCTTTTTATCTTAAATTTATTTCTCCAAGGAAGGCACTAATACATGTGATGCAAATAATTTATTGGAGTGCATCCAAGGTTCCAGCTTCCAAGGCACATGTTATGGGTCATATATTGCCCCCATGAGGAGGAACAAGACTATTCAATCAACCATTACTCCTCATCAATCACAAAAAATAAAATAAAAAAGGAATTAATCAATCTTTTTTGGTGGTTTCAGAGGTTAGTTTAGGCAGAATTCATGTTGAAACCCAATTCCCTTATCACTGCTGTCTTAAAGATTTAATTCTGTCTTAAACTACTATAACTTCATTATTTTTTCCTGTTGAATTTGAATCTTATCAATGCCAAGGCCTTCAAATTAATGGTTTTTGTTTCAAGGAGCAACAAGCCAACAACATTATATTAATAATTAAAGCATGTTTGGATGACATCATCTAGATGGAGCTATTTCTAGTTACTCAGAAAATAAATAGATTTCAAGAAATAGCGCTTTGGATTCAATCTGGTTCTAAAAACTTGCCATGTTTTCCATGTTCAAGGGGTCAACTCCTACTGATGAATCATTCTCATCTGATTTACTGTAAAAATCTTCTATGCTTAAAGTTCATCAAATCATGCTGATTTTTCAGTCTAGGCAATCTATTAGATTGAGCAACTGGTTCAGTGCTTGTTGTAGTCCCTTGAACAGATAACTAATGGGAAGTTATGAGAGCCCCAGACTGGGATTTCTCAATTTTAGAGATCAAGGATGCTTGGCTTAGGGAGGTGGGGTTCCTCTTCCTCCATTGTTTCCTTCCAAATCCAATCACACTTACCATTCACAAACAATGGAAAGCAAAACTGTACTCTGTTTATTTGTAATGCAAATCTGAATCAAATACACATTTTGTACCTGGTTCAATTTTGTATCTATTTGTTTCTAATTATGATTTGCATTCCTATCTGATAAAAAACTCATGCCTTTTGTCTCATTTGCACTCATTAGCAGTGTAAATTTTGCATATCAAAAACTGAGATGCCTTGCTCTGAAATTTAATTAATTATAATGGGGTGACAAGGATCGAACACTAAACCTTTTGGTCAAACAGGTTCTGATACTATCAAGGCAAAGATTAAAGTATCGGTATCGGGTATCGTATTGGATAAGTTAGATATGGACATGGATATGGATATGCTTTGGAAACATATGGATATGAACAAAAGATATAGAAAACGCTTGGATACGCTAGTGAAATGCATACAAATCACATAAATACATTAATAATACTAAACCAAAAGCTGAATTATCTATGAATAAGATATAAAGCCATGAGAAATGCATACTTCAATAAATTATATGAAGAGAAATATTACAATAAACAATATCAGGACTCTAGAACATTCAAACATTGTACAATAATTATCATTCTTTCAGTTTTATAATTATAATTTTCAATATTTATTAAGTTTTGGGAATATTTATTAATTTAGTATTTTATTTAAATAACAAATATTTTTAAATAATAAATATATTTTCATTTTTAACATATAATGTTTTTATTTTACACATAATTGTAAAATAAAACAAATAAATCATTTAAGGTAGATAAAATAAATTATATTTAATTTTCATTTTTTATTAAATCTTTTGGGAAAATTAAATCTTAAATTATTCGTTTCAGTTTTTATAATTATATTTTTCTGTTTTCCATTAATTTTGATGGGAAAATTTATTTATTTAGTATTTTTATATAATAATTATTTTTCAAATAATAACTATGTTTTCATTTTTAACATATAATTATGTGTAAAATAAAATATATAAATCATCTAAGGTAGATGAAATATATTATTTTTATAATTTTTAGTTTTTATTATTTTTTGGAAAAAATAAATCTTAAATTATTTATTTCAGTTTTCATGATACTATTTTTTAAATTGTATTAAAGATGAAAAACAATCCAAAAGTACTCAATGTACAATTTTGTCAAACTATACACGGATATACCTCCGTATCGGTGTGTGTCGGACTGTACCCATCGATACAGTACAATTCGGCTTGATACTAAGGCATATTGTACGGATACACACGACTTATAGGAAGTCGTGTGTATCCAGTCATAGTGTATCCTGTATCCATGATCATGGATATGTATATGATACGAATATGATACGCCCCGTATCAGAAGTATCATATTGATACCTTAACCCTTGCATCAAAGAACCATTGAACCTAAAAAATTAAGCTATTAAATGAGGTTTCTAAATAAATTTTTATTTTCTAATAAGCATAATCAATCAATTCTCACTATCTCTAGAGCAAGAACAACAACTGGGTGAAAGCAAATCCTAGAGAACCATCTGATTGAAAAACCACTGGTACATGAATAGAATAGAATAGAATTCTGATTTCTGTAAATTCCAATCTAATGGCCGTCATAACTATCCCATTTGAACCATCAGATTTGTCCCAACAAAATTTTTGAGAGACAACGAAGTCCTTACCCAATACCTACCCACTTTAGACTTCAGAGGAGTTTGTTCTTTGGAGAGATGAGAGCTGGTTGGTTGGTACTTTACTTTAACCTGTCGTGCATCACCTCGTATTGCATGAAATTTCAACGCTATATTCAGCTCACTTGGAACGACGTAGAAATAGTGCAACAATGACTTATCACCTTATGGGTCCGTCCAGATGAAAGATGCAGTCTGGGCCTTGTTGCTTTTGTCTCATGCAGAATGTGTGAATGTACTATGTTTCTTAAAAGCAAAATGGGCCCAAATGACATGCAGGGAGATGTTTCCAATGATCGCTGAAATATGCATGTGAGGCGTGCGCTATGGGTTGCCAATCTGAACTCTACTATTGGCTGTACAGCTCAGCAATTCAGTGCCCCAAGCCACACAGTCCAGCCCATTTCGGACTTTGGAAGATTGGCCTGGGGTGATAATTGGGTCCATGGCCCATTAAACAGACATCGCATTCAGTTAATCTGAGTTACCTTGAGAAATGACAAGTGCCCAATATAAGAATGGATGGTCTCCATTATAATAAATAAGTTATAAATAAAAAGAATTATTACAATACTGATTAAATAAAAAATTAAAAAAAAAACTTTAGGTTGCATTTTGATAATAATATTGACAAAAAATCTTGTATTTTGTATAATTTTGTATGTATTTATATTGTACATATTTATATCTTTATTTATACCTCTTTCAAATTGAGCCTAAAATTCAAACGCACAGAGGCCCAATTTTAGCCTTTGTATTTTGCTTAAATGTGTTTTGACTTGAGATTTATTATGGCTTTAGAATCAACTCTTGCCAAACCCTCAACACACTTTTCATTCATTTTTGTTTTCCACAACTCAAAGCTCAAAAGAGAAAAGTTTTTTTAAACAAAGCCTTAAGTTAAGACTATGTTTGGTTTGAAAGAAAAAGGTAAGGAAAAGAAAAGAAAGATAAGGAAATTCATACAAGATTTCTAAAGGTTTCTTTACCTTTTCCTTCATTTCCTTACTTTTTCCTTTCAAACCAAACATAGTCTAATTGTAGTAGTTATTATCAAGGTTTTTAAAATCGGACCGGACAGGAAACCATTCTAGGGACCTATTTCTGGATCAAACGGATGGCCCGATCTGACTTAAAAAAATAAAAACGGCCAAAAACCATTGTCCAATTCAACGGTTCAACCACTCGGGTTAGTAAATTATTGATCAAATCAATGGTTTTTGACAAAAAATGATTTTAGGATGAAATGGAACTCATTACCTGACTGGTTCCCGGATTTTCCGATCCAACCGTCCAGTCCAATCCATTTTTGAAAACCATGGTTATTATTATTTTTTGTTTTAACTTTGGAGCTACATTATTTGTGCATTGTGCGCTTGGAACTACAATTTTATCATATGATTTTAGCCACATGGCATGAAATAATATCATTAATTTTTTTTTGTTTTAACTTTGGAGCTACAAGCCCACACTTTCTTCATCCAAAATGGTTGTCAAAAAAAGATGAAAGTGAATTCATCCCTTGAAATATTGAAACGACCCCACACCTTTGATAGCATGTCATGCTCATGCATATACCCCCAACAAGTATCTCACAAGAAGTCAGTCTACCCCTTGAGTTTGCCGGTTCTTCTTTTCACTTAAAAATACATTTTCAGGGGCCGCCAGCTGAAGTAGCTGAACTGAATAACTATTTAATGAATTGTTCATTAAAAGGCAAAGCAAATCATTCAGTTCAACTTCAGTCAATCAGCTTTTCTGGCCCTTAACTATACCTTGTAGGATGATCCAACTGGACTTAAATATATCTTATGTTAATATGTGACATCATGTGACCTATTTAAAATTTGAAAAACCCCACTTTACCCTTCTATAATTATATGCACTATTTTCTTTCAACCCGGTTGTGCAGTCAGCCTATCATAACAATGATAATAAGTAGAAGAAAAGAAGAAACAGATTGCCCGTTTGTAATTGGTTAAATGAAAAAAAGTATGTTGCATTTGGACAACCTTCAAGACTTGTGCTTTTAAAGTTCAACATCACAAAGACCCACTTTTAGGCTTTGTGCTTTGTGCTTTCTTTCTAAATGTGTTTTGATTTGAGATTTCTTATGGTTTTAGAATCAACTC